CAGCCAAGCCCACGCTCATGGCTCAACTGCTGAGCAGTGCAGGTCAGGGGTGGTGAGCAGGGCTAAGAGGACCACGGTGGAGATGCTGGGAAAGGGCTACAAGATGGTACATGTTTCCTCTTTGGTGTCAACCATTGGAGGCTGAAGGTTTCACATAGAACCCTGGGTTTTAGCTCCTCTTGAACAAAGTACATGCCCTGGCCTCTTTGGGCCTGCTCCAGCCTGTCACTGCTGCCTGCCTCCTTCTTTATTGTCCTCTTAGACTGGGGGTGACTGGCAGGTACCATTTCACCTTCAGCATATGCTAGTTTTCTTTTTATGAAACAAAAACAATAGGCAGGCATGGCAGCACACACCTGTAATCCTAGCTACTCGGGAGGGTGGGGCAGGGGGACAGCAAGTTCAAAGCCAGTCTAAGCAACTTAGCAAGATCTTGTCTCAAAGGAAAATGCTCTGAAAGGGAGTGGGGTTAGGCATGGAGCTCAGTGGAGATGCGCCAAGCAGCACACTCAAAGCTGTAAACACCGAGTATCAACAAAGCCAAGCTCACTTTTAAAAACCCAAGAGACAGGAGCCATGTGATTTAAGAAAAATATAGAACATTTCATCAAAAACTAAAACTGAAGGGCTGGGGGGATGGCCTAGCTGGTAAATATGCATGGTGTGTAAACTGGCAACCTGGGTTTGATCCCTAGAACCTATGGTGGAAAACCAATTCCCCAAAATTGTCCTCTGACTTCCACACCTGTACACACACACACACACACACACACACTAATAATAATGATAATAATAAACAAATAATGCTGTAAGAACTGCAATGTTACATAGCAGTCCCATCGGGTGTTTAGAGTAGGTGCCTAGTGTTCTGACCATGAGTACGTGGATCAAATGGATGTTAGTTGATTGTCATTCCACAACGTACAGGGTCTTGCTGTGTCACCCAGGCTATTCTGGAACTCATGGTAATCCTCCTACTTCAGCCTCCCAAGTGCTGGGATTACATACAGTGTTAGTCATCATGCCGAGGTCGAAAATTTTTAAAAATAAAATGTGAAGGGAGGGGCTGGGGATGTGGCCATTTGTAGCGTGCTTGCCACAAATGCCGGAAGCCCTACCTTTGAGTCTTAGTACCACAGAAAACAAACATGGCTGTAATCCTAGCACTTGGGAGGTTGACATAGGAATCTGAAGTTCGAGGCTATTCTTGGCTATATATTAAATTTGAGGCCAGCCTAGGAAAAAAAAACAGAAAAAAAAAAAAACAGAAAAAGGAAAAAAAAACAGAATACGAGTTTGTTTGAGGAAGAGGAGAATTTCTAAATGATTGAAAGATAAATGCCCGACCTCCCTAAGCTGTCTGCTGTGGTTTGAATCTGAAATGTCTAAGGTAGGTGGATGCATTCAATGCTTCATCCGCAGAGGGAGGGAAGTTGGCAAGGCAGGACCCAGCTGAAGGAAGCACGGCACCAGGAATGAGCTCCTCCACCCCAGCGTGCCACCCCCACCGTGATGGGCTGCAACTTTCCACACTGGCAGTCAAAGAAGAAATTCCAAGTCCTTTACATTGTCTGTACCAGGTGTTTTGTCATGGCGACAAGAAGTCTAATGCACGCTCTGGCCAGCCTGAGCCTAGCTCTCTGCACAAGAGTCTAATGGTGCTCTGATGCCTTCTTGTCCGTGTGAATCAGACCCCCACCCTATCGACACTTGTGTCTCTAACACCTGAGAATCGCGGCAGCTGAGGCAACTCTGAAAGTCATCATGGCTGGGAATCTGGGAGCTCACACCAGCTGTGGCCACAAAAACCAAGCAGAGCTAGCAACTGTATATGGTTGCTATGCTTTATTCAGAGAACAGATCGTTCCTGAAGGTAGCAGATTGACATCTTAAATGTTATTGCATTTACTTTTTTATTTGTGCACGCATATGCCATGGTACATGTGACTTTCCTCTACCACATGGGTTGCAAGGATTGAATTCAGGTCGTTAGGCTTGGCAGTAAGCCCCTTTACCTGCTGAGCCATCTCCTTGGCCTCAGATTACCAATTTAAAAAGCAAACAAACAAACACCTGCCTTCCAGCTCCATCCAGGAAGCTTTATAGGGAATGAGGGAAGGGGTGGGAACAAAGGCTGTCAGTCATTCCAAAGCTCAGTCTTGCCCCTCTTGGAGTCACACTCCAGAGGCGATGTCTGTGACTCTCATTATCATCCTTTGTGTCCCTTGTGTGCTTTCTATAAAACCTCATTCTGTGAAAGTCTGGGCTTGGACACTTCTTGAAACATTGAGTTTAGTGCATCTGCCAGTGTGAACTTTGAACTTTCCAGGGGCATCTGGGCTGGAAGATCTGTGAGCTCCAGACAAGCGAAGCACTGACAGTGTGTGCACACTAAAGTATTGATAAGTACATGTTGAGACTTCTCTGCCACGTGGAGTACAAATGTGTCTTTCTAATACGGAATTTGAAAGTGTCCCTATCTGTCCCTCCTGTCCTGCATCCATGGGTCTGATAGCTATTGAAGTGATATAAATGTTCAGATAAATGAGAACACAATGGCCCCCCAGCCCACACCTGTGCCTTCGCCCCCACGGAAGTCCCATGGAGATGGGCACCCTAACCAGTAATCTCTTGGCTTGGCTCTTCCAGACTTCTTTGGTGGATTAGGGTCTCTTAGCTCTCTTCTCTGCACTCTGGCCACACAGATGGCTTTCTCCCTCCCCAGGGGGTTCTCTAGACTCAATATGCATTCTCAGCAGTCGCTTTGGTAAGCACAGCAGTTCTTTAGAATGTCACGCACGAGTCCACGTGCTTCAGCAATCCATGGTGTCTAGCACAACAGAGACTAGCACAGTACCCGGATGCTCACAGCAGGGGTTTCCGTCAGTGGATGAGTGGATAAATAAAATGTATGTCCACCTAATGGAATGCTGTCATTAAAAAAAATGAAGTGTTGATAGAAACTGCAGTGTTGATGACTCTTTATGCTAATGTGGATTGAAACTTTATACTAAGTGAAAGATGCCAGGCACAAAAGACCATGCAGTCTATGATTCTGCTTATAGGGAGTATCCAGAGGAGGCAAATCTATTGAGGACAGAAGAGACTGATGTTTGCACAGGGCCAAGGTGGCAACATTTAAGGGGTAAAACCTCAGGGAATCAGAGGAAAACCAGCCCAGTCATGCACATAGAGAGGCAGTCCTGGCAGGGCCTCTTCAGGGCTTCTCACCCCTATCTTCCTTCTTCAGAGCCTACTCTTTCAATTCCACTGAATGCTCTCTGTCCTTTGTGCAGCTTCCTCGTCTAGCCAGGGTCTGTCAGTCTGGGAGGTGAAGGAGGTATAATGTGGGAAGGTGGCTACAGTCATGGCTTCCCTGAGACAGGATGGGAAGAGGCAAGTACATGGCCCCTGGTTTGTTGTCCTTGCCCTTTTTCCTTTTGTACCTCCACCAAGTGACTCATGTGTTTTGCTCTGGGCAAACCCGTAGCCTTTGTCACCCAGTGGAGTGTTACAGATGAGGACGAGCACTCTTCCTTTCTGAGAAGGGAGTCTGCTTTGATCCAAGGCGCCAGTTCGCAGTTCAGACCCTGTTACCTGAAACCCTATCACAAAAAGGCCCTGTTCCAAAGGAGAGGGAGCTACCTGGAAAGGGGGACCAACAAGTTGCCAAGAGTTTCAAATCACTGGGGTGCATGAAGCATCCGAGCTGCACCCTGCAACCTGTCAGATTTGGTGCTTTGTCTGGAAGAGGATTGTGAGCACGGGTCACTCTCAGAGGTGATTTTAGGGGGAATACTGTTACCTCATTCCCTCAGCTACCAAGCCAGAAATGTGCAGACTGTGGTGGTCATCACAGGTTCTGCACTTAAGGTTTGGTGCCATCGGGGGTGGGGTGGGGTATAGTGGAGGTGGGGTTCTTTATACAATTCTGATTCCTCGATCTATCTAGAAAATACATCAACAAAGTTGCACAGTCATCAACAGTGTCTAGTTCTGGAATTTTCATCACTTCAGAAGGAGGCCCCATACCTATAGAGTAGTGTCTCCTCCCAGTTACTCCTTAACTTCATACTCTGGGAACCTTTAATCTGCCTTCTTTTGTGCTGGGCTTGCTTATTCTGTGAGTTTCGCGTAAACACATCCATTTGTGAACGGCTTTTTTCTCTTAGAGTAACATTTTCGAAGTTCAGTCATGTCGTAGCATGAATCAGTGTTTCTTCTTTTTTTTTTTTAATGGCTGAAAAAAGATAGTCCATTGTATGGTAATACTATGCTTTGTTTAGCCATTCAAAAGTTGTTGGACATTTGGGTAGTTTCCAGCTTTTGGTTATTGGGAGCACTGGTGCTATGAACATGCCCCCTGGCACATCAGTCCAAAACACGGGGAGTAACAATGTGCATTTCTTTTCCAAAGCCATCTTGCCGCAAGGAGGAGTCATGCCACATCACATTCCCCCACTGGATGAAAGTTTTTTCTGAAACAAGAGGTTTCATTTATATTTAGAATGGCCAGTCTCTTGATGGGGCTGCCTGGCTTTCCATGTGGTATGGCTTTGGCTCTCTACCCATGCCCCACAGTTGGGTTTGGAGCTCATACTGCGACCGTCTTTTTCTCTCTTGCCTTTCTGTTTTCTCATGCTTTTTAGCTGTCACACAGCCATTCTTTCCCGATTCGCTTTTCCATGCTCTCTTTACTTTTGGAGACAGGGTTTCATGCAGCTCAGGCTGGTTTGGAACATACTGTGTAGACAAGGATGACCTTAAAGTCCTGATCCTCCAGCGTCACTTAGTCCGGATTGTATATCAACAAGTACACTACCATTTCTTCCGCCACAACTCCTCGGCTGCGCAGGCCCACTGTCTTGCCCATCATGCTCTTTTTCCGCCACTACTCCTCGACTGCGCAGGCGCAATTCTTCTCTCTGCTAATGTTGGAGTAGCGTACTTGTGACTCTGCAGTTCGTGATACGCGAGCCGTCTTACGGAGTGTGTTGGCGATGGCGACGGTGGAGGAGAAGCGGACGTCACCGGAGTCCGGGGCCGCGGAGGAGCCTGCGGAGCTGCCGGCTGCCGTACGAGCGAGCGTGGAGCGGAAGCGGCAGCGGGCGCTGATGCTACGCCAGGCCCGGCTGGCGGCGCGGCCGTACCCGGCGGCGGCGGCGGCCACCGGAGGTGGGGTCCCCCGCACGGGCGCGCAGCCGTGAACGCCTGCGTCTCCGCGGTCCCAGGCCTTCCCTTTGTCTGGATCATGTATGGTGCAGAGCTTTCAGACTTGCAGCCAGTAAACAAGCCAGCACAGTCTCCCAGTCCAGCACCCAGCAGTGCTTGACCCAGTCTTTTACATGGGCCGCGCCTTCCAGGGCCAAGTAGAGTAACACCCGGGAGCCCCGCACTTTGGAGTTACCCAATTGGATTCTTAGGGACACCTTGGAAAATGGAAAGGGCAGGGCTTGGTAACCCTGTTTTACTGAGTAGCAGCTGACATCAGTAAAGAAAAAGGATTTTTTTTTTTCCAGGTTAATCAGGACCACAAAGAATCATCTGGCCCTGGGTTCATTTTGGCTATTGTTGGCATCTTAGGGTAGCCCCTGCCTTGCTGTTCTCCGGTTTTTAATGTCCGTTGTGCTTTCAGCTGCTGGCATTGCCCTTGGGACTAATTCACCCGTTATTTCAACAAAAGTAATTTACTTTTTTCATCCCTCTCTCACAAGTCATATCTCTATTTCTCTCCCCCATCTATCTATCTGCGTGTGTGTAAAGTATTTGTTTTGGCAGCATGTACTAAATAATAATGCATATATTTTATGACAATTTGTACTTTTAGATTTGCCATTGAATTTGATTTGTTTCTCCTGACCAGCAGAGCTGCCTTGTAACTGACTTAGATTTGAATCTTTTAAAATCGCTTGAAAGTCCTTATATACCATTTTGTAATGTAAAAAGTAATTTTCATTATCTTCATTGGTTACAGTGCAGATCTTGTACTACACTGCACCCTCAGTTTCTCATTATCCTTGTGCAGATAGACAATGTCTTACCAGTGTCCTTCTACCTGCTGGGAACATCTAAAGTCATGAGAGCTTCTACAGCTTCAAACAGCCTGGCAAGTGCAGAGACAGTATAGTTCCACAGGAGGTGTCCACCCAGAACACTAGGAAAACTAGAAGTAGCCGAGGGAGCCTCGCTGCTGGGCCTGTAACCAGAGCTGCTGGGGAGGCTGAGACAGGAAAATCTTGAATTTAAAAACTGCCTGGGCTACAGAGTTCCAGGTCAGCCTGAGCAGCCTGAGCAGGTTAGGGAGGCCTTCACTCTAGAAACTAGAAAGAGAGCCATAGGGGTTGCTCATTGGTCAAGTGCTTGCTTGCCGTTCTCATGACCCTGGGTGCATCCTCTGGTGTGGAAAGAAAAGTAGTCTAAACTTAGGCTAGGTTGGTCAGTCCACCTGGTAAGTTTGTTGCCCTTGGAAGCAAGTGAGTTCGGTATCTTGTTTGAATGTCCCGCCCCTCATTTCACTCACTACCCTGGGGAGAAAGAGCTTTCTCCTTCAGAGGCTTATACCGGGTGTGAGTTTTAATTCTTCGTTACAGGCTTAGACAGATTTCCCTTCAATTTGCTGTGTTCTGTCACAGGGAATCTCTTCTGTTTCTTGCTTCTGCAGTTAGATCCTCAGGGCGCTACTTAGACACTTTCCAGCTAGGCTTACCGTGTTTGCTCACTTTCAGTTCTGGTTATTCTAATCCTCTTAAAGTGATTTTTTTTTTTTTTTTTTTTTTTTTTTTTGTTGACAAGTGTCTAGTATAGAATCCTCGGAGTAAATACTAGTCATTGCCACTATCCTTTCTGCTAGAGGCTGTCATCCCCATCTTCCCAAGCTTTGTGTAGAAAGGACTTAACAGAGCAGGGCTGGGACCATCCTCAGGAAGGCTTAAGGCTTTCCATTGGCTGCTATCTAGAAACTTGGGATTTGATGTGTTTCTACTATTCCCAGCTGTTTACTGTAGCTAAATTGTAAGTAGAATGTTATGTGTGTCTTATACTTGGGCACCTCTCTGGAAGTCGGGCAGTTAGGGCTGGAGGATGGGGAGGAAGCTCCCTTTGGGGACTCCTTTAGATCCTCACGTGCCAGGTATGTCTTTTTACTTGACTTTTCATTTGTATTTAAAATCCTTTGCAAATGATTAGTGAAGGTGAGTGAGTTATGTTCCCAAGTTGTGTGTTTTATTGCCGTAAAAGATTAACTGCAACCAGGGAAGCGGTTTTGGAAACATTGATTTATAGCCAGTCGATCAAAGTCCCTGGTGTGCAGTTAGCATCTGAAGTTGGGCAGTCAGGAACTGCACCCTCAACCTGTGGGCTCTGACTCCAGCTAGATAGATAGCACCTGGCCAGAATTCACTGGAGAAATGCGAGGGGGGTAGGTGTTTGCTGAATAGTGCTGCATGGCTTGTCCTGTCTGTAATTGGAGCCAAACCTCTGATGTGCTGGGAGCTTTGGGGTTTGGTGTGGATTTGCTGTAGCCATAGGAGCAGTCGTAGAAGGCCCCATTTCTTATATACAGTCAAGTGCATTCCACCAGGGGCATCCCAGGGTTCTTGCTGTCTTTGGATTTTGTAGTGTCTTGTAGTCAGTGTGGCAGCCTCAGGAGGTTTGTTCTTCATTGTATGGTAGGTGCTTGTGGCTGTTCGCATGCAGGCCCACGTTGCCTGGGAGGAAGTGGCATTTTACTTTCTAAGGTGCAGGCTTTGCTAGTTGGTTTGGCTTTTGTTAGTTTTGCTTTCTCGCCTGCTGCACCAGCTGGGACCTTAAGGGCAGTTTGAATGAAGTGGTGACCTTGTTATCCTTTCCTCTTTCCCCACGGGGAATCTGCGGGCTTGGTGGTTCAGCTGGTGACTCCTTTATCTGCTTTCTGTAGATGTGGCCAGTGTAAAAGCAGCTCCCAAAATGATTGACACCAAAGGTGGCTTCATTTTAGAAGAGGAAGAAGAGAAACACGAGATTGGAAATGTTGTTCATGAACCAGGTAAAGCATTTAAGTGTTTCCACAAAAGAAGTATTAACATTGGTAATTCAGAGCAACATGAAGGATTCCTTGCTCTTTGATCAATGAGAAGACCCAGGGAGGACGGGAGGGGCTGGAAGGAGTAGAGGGAAAGAAACTAATCAGGATATGTTATATGAGAAAAGTCTCTCTTTTCAATAAAAGGGGAAAACACACACACACACACATGCACACAGACACATGCACACACCCACACGCACACACACACACACATGCACACAGACATATATACACATACATATATTTATTTGTTTTTCAGCTTACAGTGATAACTTTTATGTGTGTTCCCTTTCATCTATGTAGAACACATATGCTTACACATGCAAGTTCTTGGACATCTGATAATATGAAGTTTACTATTAGGAAGCACTACAAAACAGTCTTAGGCAGATTCACAATTTCAAACTCTCATCAATCATATAGGAGAGGGCTGACTTCTCCAGATTCTGGCAGCAGTTTTCTTACCAGTCTTTCTCCTGATGTGAGTCGTAGTGTGCTCCGGTATGAGTCGGTAGTATGCTCCAGATGTGAGTCGCTAGTATGCTCCGGTGTGAGTCGGTAGTGTACTCCGGATGTGAGTCGGTAGTGTGCTCCGGTGTGAGTCGGTAGTGTGCTCCGG